GATCTTACTGAACGTGACTTTATATTTTAAGGCTTAAGGCAGCAAGTGATATTATAATTTTTAAAACATTTTGCACTTTTATTTTAGTATATTCTACAAAGCAACCTCGAACTTGCTTTTTGTTAATTTATAAAGCCTGACATGACACATTAAGACATAAAAAATTTTAGAACTATAATCTAGTATTTACCTGAATTGACGGGCGACTTCTAGAATGTCATTATTAATTATTCTTTCGGAATTTGTTTAGCGTATAAGACCTATTGCCCCTATGGCCATGATGAAAAATCAAGGGTGGGTAGTAAAGAAGTAGTTGTAGTTCACTACTGTAGCGAACTACAATTTTCAAATAGCCAGTAGTTTTTGACTATACTTTCTGTAAAGATTGTAGCTCTCGAAACGCCACATTCCGCAAAGGGCTCTGAAAACTCTAAAAAGCATATGCCATGCCTTCCGATTGAACTTAAATTTAGACTTTTAAGTCATTAATCTGTTGTTAAGCACGTAAAGATCTGATGTCGATTTCATCGGTAAAATAGGCCTACAAAGCTTGCATAATAAACAGTCAAGTACTTTGCACAAACAATAAAACAGTTCAGCTAGCAAAGCCGTCCGGCACCATTTAGGCCCCGTTTACACTATACCGGATTGCTATCGGAGTGGGTCAAATTTTGTAGGTATCGAAAGGCTGTGAAGATTTTTAATCTCAGAGACCCAAATGAACATGCCAATTCTGTCAAACTAATAAGCATTTGCTACTAACCATTGCTCCGTAGCGGCAAAAGAAGATGTCGTGACCAACGAATCCGGTATAGTGTAAACAGGGCCTTAGTAGTAAATTTCTTGAACTTTAAATTCGAAAATAAGAAAAATTTAATGCTTTAAATCCGAATGCAATAAAAACCAAACACAATACTAAAATGTGGTGCCCGCTGGCCCCGCTTACAAATAAAACTTTCGGCGTTTCCGCCTACATGCACAAGTCAAGTAAAGTTATAATTCTCCTGTCGGCCGTCAGTTGGTCCGTACGTTAGGATCAAAATTGCGTTTTAAAGCCTTCGAAATAAAATTTTTTGGCTCAAAATACTATCAAATTGAGGAGAAAAGTGAGACGAATCCACTGGCATACGGCCGAAAACAAGAAAACCAACAATTCCGAAATTATCAAGGATCAAACGGACTGCACTTTTAATTATAGTTTAATAATTTTGAGCCATTTGTCAACAATACAATTTCGCTTATTAAAACTGCACATTAAAACCTTCAAAATATAATATTTTGGGCTTAAACTACTAACAAAATAAAGAGAAAAGTGAGACTAACTTAACCACTGGTATACGGCCGAAAACGAGAAAACCTGCAACAATACTGTACGAAGTTATCAGGGTCAAATGTATTGCATTTTTAATTAGTTTAATAATTATGAGCGATGTGCGGAACAATACAATTTCGCTTGTCTTTCAAAGGCCATAAATCGCTAGAATACTGTTGTTTAGTAATACATTTGACATCCGTAAATACAACTTTTCACGCTGATTCGAACGGTAGTATTTTTGTCCTTATTGGGCGCATAAAACCAGAAATAAAGCCTAGCAAACAGTCGATCATGAGAGTACCGACAACAACCAACAAATTCCGAGCACGTGCAAGGAATTTTTAGTAGGTGATTAAAGCCTGGTTCACATATATGCCTGCGATGTACCGGCGACAATGCCGATGGTAGCTTTAAAACATAAATTATGTGAACATTTGTTCGCCGATTGCCTCCAGTGCCACAGTTACATCGGCGGTAGGCCGGGAAAGTTGACTTGAGTTCAACTTTGCCGGTATTTTGGCGGCAAGTAGAGGCATAATGATACAGTCGCAGGCCGCAGGCATATGTGAACCAGGCTTAAGGAAACGTTTTGATGCGAACAAACTAACAAACGCACCGACAAACTAACAAACGGATAAACTAACAAACTCACAGGCAGAATATAATGCGGTGCCAAATGAAGCAAATAACTGTCTTTCATTACAGTTTATATTTACCGCCTAACTAAATGTAATTTGCATTAAAAACACAGAAAGTTCGAGGTTGTTGTGCGGAATCTAAATAAAAAGCGCAAAATGTTTTTATCAACCCTTTTTATACATCCTTAGATTAGTAGATTGGAATAGAAGCTTTAGGTTTTTAGTGCTGGACTTCAAGGAGATCAAAGCTATTTTCTGAGGGTCAGTTTGTCATGATTTTAAGAAGGCCGTAAAACGAGTATCATTGCGT